CAATGACACTTAACATCAACAACAACATAGTTTGCATATTTTGTATAATAAGAATTATATCTAAATTTAAAATTGCTTAAATGGCTTTTAATGAAGAGCAAAAATAAACTCTAGAACACAAATACAGGGGCTTCAGAAAGTTTGTAGGAAAATTCCATTCCCTTTTAATTTCATTTTCCCACAAACTAGTTGAAGCCCCCTTGTACACTCATTCACTGTAGCACCAAATGATAAAATCTATTATTGAGTTTCAGTTTTAAATCTGTGCTTGCTGACTCCCAAAGCAGAAAGGGTAAATGGTTCATGTATATAATTCTCATCATGAGAGTAAGAAAAGCAAATCAGTGTACTGGAAACAAATATTTGAATAACAAAATTTAAATGAGACTTCAAATGCAAATACTAGAATATAAATGGGGCCAGTTTTTACCTTGCCTTTTTCTTTAAATTGAAGTATAACTTATGCATGCATGATGAAATGCACACATCTTAAGTCATGAGCACTATTCAAACAATCTGATAAATGTGTGCCCTAAAAATAGTGTGGTGCTGAAGGATAAGCACTGAACTGTGAACTACAAGATCAGTGGTTCAAATCCCCTATCCACTCATCTGTATAGCTTCACCATGCATTGGAATTGGCTCCATGACACTTAACAATAACAAAATGCCCAATTCCATATTAAGATATAGGGACTTAGTAAATTCCTTCATGTTTCTTCCCAGTCCCCACACAAACTCCCTAGAAGCAACCATTGTTATCTTTTTGTATAGCCAAAGATTAGACTTGCCTGTTTGGAAATTCAAATAAGTAGAATTATAAAATATATACTTTTATGTGTCTGCTTCTGTCACTTGGCATCATGTTTTTGAGATTCAACTATGTTGTATTATCTATCAGTCATTGGTCCTTTTGATTGATGAGTTTCATTATATGACTTTATGGCACATTTTGCTTGGATATTACACCATTGATAGCCAGTTGAGTTGTTTTCGGTTTAGAACTATGTGATGTCCATGAAAATTTCATATAAAACTATTTGTAGACCATATATACTTATTTTTATTGGTTAAGTATCTAGGAGTGAAATTGCTGAGTAATAAATTGTTGCTATTGTTAAGTGCCATAATGTCAGTTCCAATTCATAATGACCCTATATAGGGCTTCTGAGGAGGGGTTGGTGAGTTTAAACCACTGACCTTGTAGTCAGCAGTCCCTTGTTTGTTAATAAGTACACAGCCATACCAGCACTCCAGATAATATATTTAAAAGTTTTGAGAACTTCATAAAATATTTCAAATTAGTATTATTTTGTTATTAACCACCTTGGAATCAATTCTGAATCATCGTGACACCCTGAGGTATCAAATCTTTGCAGGAGCAGAAAA